TAAACAAATGAGAGGTTGTTTTTTTTTTTTTTTTTGTTTCGGTTTTCATTAAGGTTGGACTTGGATCTGACCGAGGAGCAGCTGTGTGTTATAAAACAGCAGTGAGCACGTCGGGCTCAAAGGAAGGCAGATTAACATATTGTATCCTTGTGCGAAAAGCAAGGTCGCCCCGCTCTATATATCCCGTCATCCACCCCTGCTCTTCTTCCAGATGGCATTAACAGATGAAACCATCATAGAACTTTCATTATTAACTACCTGCTCTGACACAGAGAATTAGAGGCGACGCCCACACATAACCAAAATATTCCCTTTCTTCTGGACGCTCAGATATTCCTTTTATGAGCCGCAGGATACAAACATCATGTGCTGCTCTTATCGGCAGTTAGGGGGCAGCTTGATGAGAGGTCTGGGACCTTCCTCATTATCAGGCGTCCTGAATATTCTGTTTGTGGGATTGTACTAAGAAGGTGTGATTCTGATCTTGGTGTATAGATTAAGAGAAAACAGAATTATTGATTACAGTTCAAAGCAGCAATGAAATCATAATATATAATAATATGTGAAATATATATGAAATAATTTGAGGTAAAGAAGATCTGTGTTCCTCTGATAACATGAGTAGGTTTTTGATGGAAACATAGAATCATTTTCTTTTGGGAAATTAGATTAAAATCTACTTGAAATTTGGATGAACATAAAGCATCATCCTCATTTTGTTAGGGTACAGGTTCCAATAATAATCCATAAATCAAAACTGACAACACAGTGGAAAAGACTGAGCTCATTTCATATCAATTACCACATGTCACTTTTCCTCTGCTTCCTCCTCCATCAATATCATCACAATAAAGTTCTCAGGAAGCTTCAAGCTCCAGCCTTTAAGACTGGAAAATGAAGCCAACAGCGTCAAGTACCAAGTTCCTCTAATGACCACTAGAGTCCGGCTCCAACAGTGAGTCAGTCCCCATAGACTCCCATGTTAATATGTCCAACTTTACAGCAGAAATAAACATGTTTACAGCCTGGTACAAAAACACTTTTGGTCTCTAGAGCTAATTTCCTCCTTCATGACAACTGTTTATAATAACTCACCTGTTTACATTTTATGAAACGCACATTGTGTAACTGACCCTGAGGGCTCTCGCAATCAAAACCATAACAAAAGATGAGATTGGGTGATGTCATTAAACAGCGTAGGAATAGCGTGATCAGTATGGAGGGCAGAGACGTCAGGGAAGAGTTGGAGCTGAGATTGATGCTAACCTTTGTTTTGATTGTTTCTCTGATAACTTATGAACCAGACGTTCAGTAGGTTTTTATCAGCAGCTGAATTATCCACAGAGGTGTCCTCCTCTTCATAACAAACAAACCAGGGGATTAAAACCAGTAAACGAATAAAGCAGTTTCACTTTAAAAATCAGTGATTCACCAACGCTCTTCAGTGGACACAGGACAGGACGTCTCCAGCAGCTGGGAGCTGAGCTGTCTAACATTTCCTCAGCTTGTTTCTCTGATAACTTCAGATCCAGACGTCCGATGACAAAAATCCTTCATCTGGTTCAAATATATAGTTGAAGTGTATGTGGCTTAAAACTAACTTTTAATGACATTTTAATGTGGAAAAGTTACAGATTATAACTTTAAAGGTTAAAGTTCTGCATAATTGAGGGCGTGGCCTCTTTGAGTGACAGGTTGGTGAGCGTATGCTTGCCACAAACTGTCATGCACACAAGTCCATTTTTGGATTAGCTGGGAGTTAGGGGCGGAGTCAGACACTGCCACGATGACGACGGTAGAGCAGCTCACTCTGAGTTTCAAAACTGCTCTTCAGAAACCTGTGGGTGACGTCACGGAGGCTACGCCCATCTTTATTTACAGTCTACTGTCAACAATGACTGCATCAGGAGCTGCGTTTGAAAGATTTTTGTAAATTTATAAAAACAATCTGAGATTTCACTCAGTGATGGTTCAGGTGTGTGGAGGTAGAACTGAAGCTCTTTTTCATTCCTTATACAACCACCTCTGTCACCTTTGGTTTGAACAGTTGAGTGCAGCACTGTGAATGTGAATATGACTGAAAGTCTGAGTCTCGTCCCTCTCTCTGATGGCAGGTTTCTTCTCCCTCACAGGTGTCTCCTAGAAATTACATTTGTATATTACTAAATTATTTATGTCGTGGTAACAAACCGGATTAATGTTCAGGAGTAATGTCATTAAAAAAAAGAAAAGAAAAAAGAAGCACAGCATTTTTTTAATTCACTGGATCTGTCTGTGGTTTAGGTAACGACAGCTCTTTGGTTAAAGTTAGTCAAAGATGGTGTTTTAGGTTAAATGTAAATAAACATGTCATGTCAGTGAACTTTTTTTGTATTAAACCAGACCAGGATCTTGAACTAACCTGAACCAGGTGCTGTGAGAGTTTGAAGTGAACCAGAAAACAGTTTAACACACCTGTGGGAACATTTCAGTGACTTGCCAAACAAGGTTATTAACAAGGATAGACTGTATATAAAGTTTCCATGTTATCTTACCAGAAATCCTTTCTGCATTACGTTACAATTTATTTTCTGACGCAAATATAAATTCTGCATTTAAACATAATTTCATGGAGAGGTGGTCCCTGAGTACGACCCATCAGATCAACTACAGCTAGGGATGGAGATGGATAACCAAGGCACAGGTCTTTAGCCGGTTCTGTTTCCTGACTGGTCAGAACTAAACACTTTGAACAACATCAACATTCATTTAACATTCTGCATTTTCAGATTGCTGAATGTTAAATTAACATTTTACACATATATACGGATGATGTTGTGTTTCCATGCTGTGGACAGTATCATGAACAGGGGGAAATCCTCTGGAGAGCTGGCTGAAGTGAAAGAAAACACTGTGTTCGTAATGAGAGTGACACTGTCAACACACCAGCTACACCATATATTTACAGTTGTTGTTGGCCAGTGGCTCCAAAACCCAAAATGGGTCAACCTCAAGTCACATCACCAAATCCACCTGAAATTAAGGGTGTTGATAAAAGCACCAATTGTTAGGATTAGTCCTCTCTCGTCCTTTCCCCCTATTGTTTCCCCCTCCCTCACGTGTTTTGTTTGTCCCAGTTTGTTCTTTGTGTCCGTCTAGCTGGGCGTGGCCTCCTGGTTCCAGCACACCTGTTCTTCATCTGCCAATCAACTCCCCACCCTGCAGCAGCATGTAAGCCCGCCTCATGGCTTCATGTCTCCACCAGACAGTTCAGTCACATTGTGTAGTGCTAACTCTCCAGACGGTCTCTGCTCTTCAACCTTTTTTTTTTTTTTGCTCTGTGTATTTTTTGGACTTCTCAGTAACCTCTTAAGTTCTCAGTTCCTGTTCTTCAGGTCCAGATCCCTGCACCCCTGCCACCCTCAGCTAGGAATGCAGCAATCAACCGGTTTCACTATTTACCGTACTTTGGAGGCTACGCTAACTACGCTAACACCAAGAATGACCAATGTCTGCAAAAACCTGCCGGAAATAAAGTCGCAGCTAAAGGGTCCGACACACCAAACGTGATGCAGCATCTGCGGGATGACCACCCAGCTCTACACACCAAAGTAAAGGTGATGCTACCAACCAAGTTAAATTATGTTATAGGCAAGTTACTTCATGAAACATTGAGTTGTTAGAAATTGAACATAAACGTGTCACTTACAATCGATGGCGTAGCGGTGAGCGTTGGGCTTTCAGTGAAACGTAAACAAACAGGCAGTAAACCGGCTTCAGTCACTCTGACCATTTAACGTTACATTATGTTTCCTCCTCCAGTCTGTGTTGAATTAACAGTCAGGTATGGTAGGTAAATATTAACTTAACATTAGGACCTTCCAGCAACATACAATGGCTTTTAATATATTGCATTTCAGTTAATAACACTACATAAGAGATGTTCTCAATTTCCTTCCTTTCCTTTTAGTTTTTACTAAAACTGCAAACAAAGAAACAAAAACAATTATAGACAGGCCGCATGTAAAATTAGATTACTTGTTAAAAATGAATAAAAGATGGGCATGGATGAAACTTGATGACACTTCAGTTTATAACCCACATTCGTAATAATTTCCCCTAGGGGATCAATAAAGTAAATCTTAGTCTTATTTTTATAACAATCATTTAAAATCACTATTATTTTGCTCTGTATTATTTGGTTGCTGTATTATTTCTGTTTCAAATGACAGCAATAAATAACACATTAAAATCTGTAAAGAATGCTCATGTGATTTAATACATCAGTAGTGTTGTTAAATAAATTAATGCATAATAATCGTGAAACCGTGATTATTCCTCAGACTTTAATCGCACCATTAGAATCTGTAATCGTTGCATCCCTACCCTCCGCCCAGTCTCGTTGTTTCACCTGTTAGGATTTTGTTTGCCTGCCCTGCTCTGTGGATTCCTGTCTGTTTGTCCTGCCTCCACCCTTATCTGCCTGCAGCTCTTCCCTCTCCAGCATCTTCAACCGAGCCCCCATAACTCAACTCAAACAAGTCTCATTTTTTTCACTCCACCTGCTGTTGTTCTGCTTTGTGGGCCCAGAGAAAGACATTCAAAACCTTACACCAATATCAGTACAAACATCGATTAAATCCTAACCAGATGTGGAAATGTTTTCCTGTCTGACCAAACAAACTACAGACTATTTCTAAGTGGAGCTTCAGCATCTGTTTCACACAACAACAACAACAACAACAACAACAACAACAACAACAACAACAACAACAACAACATCAGTACAACACATCTCAAAAACATGTCTCACTGGTGAAAAAGTAAATCCAGAATCACACAGTGACCTTAGAAACCATGTTTTCATCTCTGCAGTTTCTGAAAATCATAATAGACCCCGAGTCCAGAAAAGAGATGTTTCCATCTCTTCTTTTTGTTTTTTCACTGGTTTCACTGGGACTGATGAACAGGTGTGGAGCGGCAGGGAGTGGCAGTGATATCTAATGAACGTCATTACTCACCTCTCTCCGACGCCGGGGCCAGATCAATGAAGCTCCGACACTTCTCACCTGCGAGAGGAAAGAGAGAGGAGGGAGATGAAGGGGGGAGGGGTAGAGAAAGAGAGAGAGGTATGTAAAGAGGAAGAGAAGTGGGGAGAGGTGAAGAATTCAAGGTGAAATGAGCTGGGAATGAAGCAGAGAGGGGGAATGAGAAAAGAGGGAGGAAGAGAAAGGAAGGTTAGAAAAAGGTGGAGAGGATGAGGTGATTAGTGAGAAGGAGAAAAAGATGTAAGGATGAGAATTGATGCAGAGGGAGGAAGGAGAAGGATAAACAGAGCGTTAGTGTCAGTGTGTCAAACTGATTTAAAAAATAAAGCTAATAACGTGTCGCACTGACAAAGACACAGTGACTCTAGAATGTCACGGCTTTTATTTCATTATCAGCACTTTATTTTGTAGCAGACACTGACAGGAAGTAGTCTCTCACTGTCACCTTATGTGACGCTCACGATGCCAGAGGTTTACAGGATTTTTTTTTTATATTAGTTAGCGTGTTTAGCATTATAAACAATGATGAATACATTTTTGTTTTTTTTTCCAAGTTTTAGTGGTGGGGCCATGTCACAAAATCAGGATCACTCATCAATACAGATATCAAAGCTTTTTTTTTATAAAAGCAGCTAATGTGATATCATGTAAGGAGAGAAATGCATCATTATTTATGAGCACATTATTATTATATTGTAATTATCACCAAATAATTTGCCAAACAGGAGGAATTTCTTTTTGTTTTTGACGTTTACACACTGACAGTTTTAATGATAAATGACAAATGTTCATCAACTAACGAGCTGATCGCTTCAGAGGCAGAGATGCAAATACTGCAGCACTAACGTGCATGTGCTCAGGATGTGATCTGACATGATTGATTATTTGGTATTTATTCTATTGACTAAAAACAAGACTTTGTATCATTTTAGTATCAGGTTTAGTGCCTTTGTATCTGCACAGAGACCACAACACCCATATCCACCATATCTGACAGCCCAATCTAAGCACTGGCTGGATGGATGAACTGCAGGTAACTCATCATGAACACCTTTATGTTTCTGTTTGTATAGAGAAAAGATACAGCATGTTCAACAGTGAGCTTTAGATTTGTTGGTGGTTGAATTTTGATCTTTGGATAGAGTTAGGCTGTGGGGTTGCGCAATGTATTTATATATATATATATATATATATATATGTATACATCTATAACAAACTTGACAGTTGTACTTAGTAGGGAGTTCATGGTATTTTACCCCATGTGGTATCAGTGCGTGCTCATGTAGGGAGTAACTGTGCTCTTGGCTTCATCACAGTTATTTCTGGCTGCAGAGAGTTGATCAGAGCTCGGTGGGACCCTGCAGGTCACAGATCACCGGCCGCAATACGAGCTATAACTCAGCCTCTGCAGTGTCACAGGCTGCAGCCAGGCCCATCCATAACCAGCCTGAGCACCGACGCCCTCACACCACCGTACACCCTGAACCCCACCCCCCCCATACCACACCACCCTCCGCCAAGCAACAGATGAAGGTACACTGTTTGTTTCCTGGATACAGGATAATCTAAGTGTCAGAGGTTAAAATAGACCTGAAGTGAAGCCTGAGTCTGTGGTGAAAACTACAGAGGAATACAACAGATACTGTGGCTACTGTTTATCCAACTGTATCTGCTCTATATGATCACATGTGTATAAATCAATTTTACATATAATAAAACACGTGTGTGCTATTTGCCTTTAAACACTCTTAAAGACTCTCCCCGTCCTGTTCTGTGACCAAGTTCCACACTACACACACATCAGGAGGAGGTTTTGAGAGTACAGTCCACTGTACTCTGGAAAACTGACAAATTAAATGATACTGGTGACCAGGACAATCAGAGTAAATGAAAAATACATTTCAAATATTTAGAAGAACATTTTGCTAAATTTTTGTGTTTAATTCACATTGGCATTTCAAAGTTCAGCCTTTTATCAGTCTCCAGGACGGACGTGGACACGCCCTTTTAATTGATACTATATTCGGGGTATTGCGTGCAAGATGCAATGGAAAATGTGATGGTGACCTCTGGAGTAGAGCTGTCACGATATCAGTTTTTCACTACATGATATCACAGTATCTACAGAAAGTTTGAATTAAAAAAACCAATGCTATCAGTCAAAATCATCCTTAACCTCGTGTGTGTTCTGTTTTTTAGCAAATAATTGGACTCATACAAGTAGTAGTAGTAAACTGTAACTAAAACTGTGCAGACTGTTTTACCAGGAAGTCCCATTGAGGTAAAAAAAAAAAAAAAAAAAAAAACCTAGCGAAGACAGCAGCCACACAAACTCACCACATATAAAACCTGAAATACCACAAACGACATGACGGCCCCTCAAGAAAAACAACTACATGTCTCATTCTCATTCTTTATTGTGCCCTTAAAATTTTCAATGGATATAAATTTATCTAATTTTAGATATCATGCTTCTCCCTGGAGTTCTAGTAGAACCTAGACCTGCTTTATAAACAAACAACACATGGACATCTACCTTTTATACTATATGGGACCTTTAAGTTTACCTGAGATCTGTCGTATCATACAATTTCTTTTAATAGAATTTCTTTTAGTCCAAATCAGTAATGTGATGTTCATATTATATATCATGGAAGGTAGAGAAGGGGGAGGTTCCTGGTAACTCCTTTGTAACATGAACACAGCATAAATAAAGTTACACCAACTCAAGTGAACTCTGTAAACTGCAAGGTCCAGCTTCTGCTGCCTGTGTGTTACCTGTTGCCCACCTGTTGTTTGTGTCCTGTCTGCTGATTCCTCTGGTTGTTTCCCTGACTCCACCTGTCCGCCAGGTGTTGACTAAAATCCTACACTTCAAATCGTAGCAATCTCAGTCCTCCTTCCTGTCTGCAGGTTACCAAAACTTTGCTAAACTAAAATGATAATAACTGCAGATAAAAGTTGGTCTATGACATCACTGTTATAAATGCTTCATGCTATTTTGCAAATACTGCAGAGAAACTCATCTGAGATGGTTATAATTCATCTTTTCCAAGGTTAAGGCTCAAGGGAAGTCAGGAGCGCGAGTGGGAAAAGCAGATGAATGTGCTCGTGACTTGGTGAGCTGCAGTGAAAATGGGCCAAAGCTAAAAGGTGAGCAGCACAGCGTCTGATTAGGACATGAATCTAAAATGTAATTAAAGAGTGAGCGGGCTCGTCTGTGACCTGACGACAGGACTAACTAACAGCACAATCAGTATTCCTACGCCTTCCTTACTGCACACAGGACACAGCGCTCCTCAAAAAACGTCAATCAAACAAAAAAAACAAAAAAACAAAAAAATTCCAGTTATCACAGCTCCCAGTCTGTCGGGTTGTAACAGAATAGATTAATTTCGAAGAAGCTTCAGGTGGTTTGAAATGTCTTCTCTTGTGTTTCAGCTTCACTCGCCCAACTCTCACTTTCACATTGCTCATTCATTATTCCCTTTCCCTGCAGCCAGCAGCTCTGCAGTCTGTTTAATCACTGATCCCATGTCATTTGGGGCTAATTGCAGCTGTAATGAGTATGAATGGTTTTGCGAAACAACAGCTAATGTGCCATTACTTCTACAGTTGTGTCTGTCTGCATTATTCAGCTGTATCTGCCGGGTATACGTGGAACGGAGAACTAGCTTCAATAAGAAGAAAAGGTTTCAGTCTGCAGTTATTTTAACTTGATTTATTCACATACAAACAAATATACTTAAAGGTCCATATAGTCTAAAGGCAGATGTCCATGTGTTCTTTGATTATAAAGCAGATCTAGGTTCTATATTAATACTGTGAAAGTATCAAAGCGCTCAGTCCACAGAGAAAACCTTAAAACCAGCCATCAGGACTTCTGTAACTTTGTGATGTCACAACACAACAGTCACTGCTATCAGACACGCCCCAAGCCCCGCCCACCTGGACCCACCATCCAACCTTGCAAGATTTGGTTTCTCTGAGTGCTCACCTGCTATCTGCTATATTTTTATTGGATCACTCAGAAATCAATCAGAACAGAGGGTCAGAGACTCCTCTCTTCTGATTGGCTCACCAACCTTTTTTTTACTAGAGCTCCAGAGAGAAGCCTGAGAGAGGAGATGTAAAACTACACTGAGATGGTTTTTGGTTCTTAAAACCACAAATATATCTTCTTATGGATCAACACTTAAAACACGGGAGAAGAGGAAAATATGGACTGACAAATGAAATGTGTCAACTCACTTTACAACATGTGAAGTAGTCTTCTTATTATCCAGTTAATATACTTTTAATTTAATTTAAATTAAATGCATTAACTTTGCCAAACTTCATGAAGCAAAGCAAATAAAGCAGACGCTCTCTAGTCAATTAAAAACGTATCTCATATAGTGCATATAGTTCCTATCCAAAAAGCTTAGTTTGATGTAAAACTTTGTGCAAACTAAAGCCTCTTGCTGGAGCAACTCCTCATTACTGCTGTTAAAACGGTATGGAGCTGAGCTGCTTACGAGTCTCAGCGCCAGGCGTGCCAGATTGCAGTGATGTAACGAAGCGAGTAAGCCGAACTGAAGTGATCATCACAGCAAGACTGTGTCTCGATCTTAACCTTTAATTGCCTTTTGTAACGTTTTGTGTCTCTTTCTTGATGCAGATGTGACGGCAGCTGGATAAATGATGACAAAAAAAAAAAGAAAAAGAAAATGTCTGCATATATAAAATAAATCCACAAAAGTTCAGAGTCAGGACCTGGACAGAGAATCACAGCTGCTCTGACTCCAGATGTTTCATCATATAATTTAAAAGCATTTTCACAACATGCTGCTTATGGAGCAGGAGGACAGGACCAGGGCTAGAACAGTGACGGCAACATTTTGACATTGAAAATAAAATTTGGCATTGAAAACAAAACCTGAACTGAAGAAGGAAACAATGGCATTAAAAAACGTTGTATTGGAAAAGGCTGTATTGGCACTGAAAAAGGTTCCACTGAAAAATACACCAGCAATAAAAAT